TTGTTTTGTTGTGGAATTTCTGCACATAACAAGAGTAAAATAATGTAAACAACCCAGAGCTGTAATTCCAAACAAAGTGTGAGTTTATTCATTAGTAAATGTGCACAATTACAATGAATAACAGAACCGATACCAATACCACCGGGCAGCCGTCTGAAATCGACTGCCCCGATTGAGGAAATGACTGTACATTAAATAGACCAGAGTAAACAAACACATATCTACTCTAGATATTACATAAATGAAGTCAACATTGATATGTGTTGCTCAAGGCTTCTCTTTACACGTCCTAACGCTAATAAAACTCTGATATATGTAACAATCTGCTTTTGAACTGAACATATTGTTCTATGACCCAGGTCAAAGACATGATGCAGCACGTCTCCATCTATCACTGACCTGCTGCCAACAGAGCATTATGGCCTGTATCTGAATCCAGAGTTGACTATTAGTTAATAACTTACACTCATAACTATTTGGTGTTAATTCAGATTGCTTTACTAAAATATTTCTATAACAATCCTATCTCTTGATAAATATAAAACCTTGGTTTATCTTAATCAACTTAATAATAATAGAAATCACAATGATTATGAATTAACACAAAATCTGAACATTTGAGCAAACACACACAATAGTTAACTAACTTTATTACAATAATAAAACCCACACTTATATACTTGCTTAGATGAATCACCTGACTGGGTCACAGACGTCTGCCCAGGGGAGACGAGGCGTTACTGGACCCGATGGGTCATCAGCCGACCCTCACCTCTCCCAGAATCGACGCTGTGCCCGCACAGTAGGCACTCCAGCAGTGCTGGGTGCACTCTCTCTCTCCCTGAGAGTAGAACCTGAGTATGTGGATTTAAAATAGACCTGGTCCAAAGATGGTTCCAAGTCCAAGCCAATCTATTGGGTCTAATGCTTTGTCATTAGATCTGTAACACTTAACCTTAAACATGGATGCCTCACACTTTCCTGACCTCCTGTGCTTTCCACATGGGGTCAGAGTGGGTGGAAACATCAGAGTTAGTGCACTGATTGTCAATGCTTGAAAACCCTAGCATATATGTGTACCACAAACCAATGCTAAGTTGTGCTAATCCTGAAACGTACACAAAACAGTTTCAAAAGCCCGTTTTGACGCAATGCTGAGATAGCCTCTCTCAGTCCACCCCCATCCTCGGGGTGGGCGTCCCGGCCTCCAGGTCAGACCAGCCGATTGTCCCAGTCTCTGACTCCGCTTCGTGAAAAAAACGGGGAACAATGTACCTGACCCATGGCTCAGAGCTTCTATCTGTGTAACACCTGGTCAGAAGGCAGACCAGGTTTTGCCGTGGGGACCCTCAAGGTGGTCCCTTCCTTCGGCCGTTGGGGAGCAAGCCTTCCTGCTTCGGCTCCACTTCTGTGTTGGAAGTCGGGCACTGCCGCCCCCACTTCTTCGCTGCCTCCTTGCGTTGGAGAAGGTCCTCAGACCCGTCTCGTTGGTCCCCTTTGGCTCTGGGCAGCTGGGGTCCACCTGCGGTGGGCTGGACCCATGATGGGGCGTCGACCCTCGCGGTGGGGTGCCCCCGGCACTTTTGGTTAGGGCTCCTCCTGGCATTCGCCGGACTCAGACCCCTCCTCTGGCTCGACCCTCGTGGCCAAGGCGTGATGGCGCTCTGTGTCTCCCTCTTGGAGATACGATCCCATGGTTGGTCACGTTTCTGAAACAATGTTTTGGCAAAAGGGTTATTTGTCCCCTCCCTAGCCTGTCCTCTGGGTCTGCGCTGCCAGGGCTTAGTCTCAGTCTATATAATAATAATAATAATGGTCTCCATATAACTTTACTCATGGGTTATCAGTTTGAGTTTCCAAAACACTCCTCTCCGGCCTTGGAGAGCAGATAAGTGCATTCTGCTGCTGTCTGCTCTCCTACATGTGCAGTCTCTCACATAAGTCAGGCCTCACTAACTAATTATTCTATGTTGGTAAAACAACAACCTATATCCTAAAGATCAAATAAACTTAAGTGTTTTGATGATTGTTTATCAAGATGAAAACTCATGGAGACCTGCAGGTGTTCAAAACCAGGCCTGTGGGCCAATTGTGGTCCGCCAGACATTTTAGTGTCTTCTGAAATGATTCTCAATTATAATTAAGTATAAACTGGCAGTCTTAATTGCAAGGTTAATTTGAACCCCAAGGCATTATTCCTAATTTTTTTTAAACAAACTCCCTCTGGAAAATTACCATATACCTTCTAATGTGTTGGAAAAACAACCTGAATTGTTAACTTAACAAAACTTTGTTAAATCTATTAAACTATTCTAAATACCTTCATAATGTTAAAGAAAAATGTGTATCCACAAAATGGGAAGATTCAACACTTTATTACTTTCGGCCTTGGTGTTTGTTTTGTCTGTCAGACCTCTGCTCTTATCACCCTCAAGAGTCACAGCCTTACAGAGCTTTGGGAAACTCTGAACAATATCCTAATACTCAAAGCTATACTATACACTTGAATTTAAACAAAAAATATTAACAAGTTAAAGAGAAAGACCAGAGAGAGACCAGAGAGTTTAAAATAAATAAAACTACACTAACCACCTGGTGTATGTGGGGTCTCTACAATTTAACAACTAAAAACTA